GATGCTCTTTAGCAGGACCCTCCCTTGGGTCCATGGGCAGTGGCTGTTCCCCAGCTCATGCCTTCAGTGAATGAGCAGAGTGCAGAGTCCCTGGAGATGCTCACTGGATTCCTGATCAGTTGTGAATCAGGCTCAAAACTCCCTTCTGGGTTTTCAAGATTTGTAATGCTTGCTCAATCTTGTGTAAACTAGGCTGGCATTTTCTCTTGTTACCAAGATGTATTTTTCTATGTTCATTAAATGTATAATTTGTGTAATTTTGTACATTAAAATGTATGCTTTTTCACAATTAAAGGTTTTTTTTCCCTTTTGAATGTCTAACTTACTGATGGTTCATTACAAAAAGTTGTAGACTTTGACACCATATGAAAAGGCAATGAATCCAAGAGTCTTGATTTTTGGTGGGGAGTAGTGACCTTCTCAGAAGTCAAATCCTCTTTGCACAAATAATGAAGTGACTTCTTTTTACTGTTGTTGCTGTAACAAGTTACCACTAAGCTAGGGGCTCAAAACAACACAGGTTTATTATCTTATAGCTCTGGAGGTTAGAAATCTGCATTGGGTCTCATGGGGCTAAAATCAAGGTCTCGGCAGGGCTGTGTTCCTTCGGGAGGCCCTGGGGAGAATTTGCTTCCTTGCCTTTTCCAGCTCCTAGACGCTGCCTGTGTTCTTTGGCATATGCTCTCTTCCTCCATCTTGAAAGTCAACAGTGTAGCATCTTCGACTCTCCCTCTGACTCTCACACCTGCTTCTGCTGTCACATCTTCTCTGACTCTGATCCTCCTGCATCCCTCTTTCACTTATAAGGATGCTTATGATTACTTTAGGCCAAACTGGATAATCCAGGATAATCTCCCCTTCTCAAGATCCCAGATTTGCCACATCTGCAAATTCTCTTTCCCTTTTGCCACATAAGGTGACATATACACAGGTCCTAGGGCTTAGGAGGTGGGCTTCTTTGGGAAGGGGGCTATTCTGCCTACCACATCCCCTGTGCACTGCTTTGGAGGCTGCCGGGGAAAAGCATACATTTCAGAATCAAACGGGCCTGAAGTTGAACTGTTTCTCTGCCACTTGCTGGCCACATAACTTTAGGCAGCGTGCTTAACTTCTTGGAACCTTGTTTCTTAGACACAAAATGACGGCAATAATCCATTACCCACCTTGCAGATTCACACCTGACAATAAACTACAATTCCCTTTCCCTCATCTTTTGGAAAGCATTCTTTTTATAACTGATGCTTTTTTTTTTTTTTGATATCTTTTTGTTTGTTATTTTGCCCAACAAGGGCCCTGATGGAGAGCATGCATTAGAACTGAGCGGCCTCTCCTGTTCTCTCCCTGCTGCCATGTTACCCGGCCCTCTCTCTTCTCTGCCACCACGCCCGAAGGCTTCCTGGCCTGACAGGATGAGCTCCTGGCTTGTCCTTCACCAGATGTCATGGTTTAATTCACTTGTGAGCACTCCTTCCCTGGAGGACTGACAGCAATCAGAGGACAGAGTGGGAAAGGTCACAGCCATCCTCTGGCCCGAATGCAGTTTGCTCAGCTTTCCTGGGCTTTCCTCTGCTGGCCTTAGCCAGATGCTGCTCCCTTGGCCTCCCTGCAGGCTGGCAGGTTCATTTCCTAACTTAAGCCCCCGGCTTTGTTTCTGGCTTCCCTTTCTTTGCTACACTTGGGTTATTGCCCTTGAAGGCGGAGACGTTGTAGGAAACACTCAGACAAGCCCACACTGAAACCCAGCACCTCCTGGCAGAAAGCTGGGGCTGTGAGTTTAAGGTATGTACCCCTCAGCACTGGAGCCTGAATATGGAGATGGTGTTGTCTGCCATGTGGGGCTGCTGAGAGCCGGTGGCATATAAAGTGACAGGTGAAGCAGATTGCAGTGTGTAAAGATGAATAGTGTGTGCAAAGACCCTTACATACATTTGGTAGACACTCCATAGAAGCCAGACCCCCTCCCTTGTCTTTAGGGAAACAGAGGAGTCCAGAGGAGTCCTGAGGAGTAACATAAAGTCTCTGACATACAGGGGGTACCCAAATGTATGCTGGATGAAGGCTGAATGATTAGTTGCCCCAGGCTGCAGGGAGGACAGGATTCTAACTCAAAAATCCAGACTCTTCTGACTATCCCAGGCCTTTTCCTTTACCTCCCCTCTCCCAAAGGGACTCCTTCAGCCACACTTCTTGAGAAGGGTAAAGAGCACTGATTAAGATGCAGACTCTGGGGCCACACTGCTGTGTTTAAATCCTAAGCAGCATTACTTACCAGCTGTGACCCTAGGCAAGTCACTTATCTCTCTGAGCCTTAGTTTTCTCATCTGTAGAATGAGGCTAAAATGGTACCTAGGCCAAAGGTTGCTGTGAGGCTTAAAAGAGTTACTCTATGTACAGTGCCCACAATGGTCCTTGGCGTGTAGTAACCTCTCCGTAAATGGGAATTATACTTTTCTTTCCTTGCTTCTGCACAAAGGCAACTCTTTCCCTCCTTCTTCCTTGTGCTAACTCCCTCCTAGTCTTGACAACTGCCTAGCCCTTTCTTACAGCAGAAAGGGTTTTCTTGGAAAGCAGTGGGATCTCTATCACCAGGGGTATTTAAGCAAAGCAGCGGAGACAAGCTCCTCAAAATGTTGAGAGCAGGTTCAGGCATGGAGGATTGACCTCAGAAGTTCTGTCTAACTCAGATTCTTGGATTCTTAGGTATTTCTGTGGGTTTAGTTGTTGTGAATATTTGTGGAGCTTTAGAAGTCTAGGTGGGCTTCAGTATGAAATTTCCTGGCTTGGGATATCCTGGGAATAGTATTTCCCAGGACAGATAGATATTTTCATTGAAAACACTTGCAATGAAGCCTAGAGTCCTCCAGATCTCAAGTGGATTATTTGTGACGGAAATCTGTGCAGGGTGCTCAGGGACAAAGGAGGAGGCTAGGATGGGGGATGGGGTGGCTAGAAGAGAGAGTGTGGGGGGGTTCTTATGTTCTTTATGGCCAGTATTCTCTCCCCTACTATAATATATGCTTCTTGAAGGAGCTTTATAAATATTCATCGCGATATTCCCAGCACAGGAAAGGGACCCGCTAGATGCCCACCAAGTTCCAGGCCTGGCTGAGCAGCAATAAGATATGAGGCACTAGGCATCTGTTTCACTGCTCCTCTCTTGTTTCCTCATCTGCCCAATGGGCAGTTTATTCCAGCATTGAAAGATAGTAAATACAGCGAGGTGTCAGCTACCATGAAGTCAGTATCCCTGGCGTCATCAGCCCCTGGGTTCCAGCAGTCACAAGAACGAGAATGTGAATCTGGCTCTCTGTCTGGGACCCCAGAACTGGTGGGACCCGGTGCTGAAGGGACAGTTCCCAGAATAGGGGGGGCTGAGGGTGCAAGGCCAGGCACTCAGGCTCCCTTCCTAGTCCCAAATGCTGCCTGTCTGGACTCGCCAGCAGAGAGGGTCGGCAGCTGGTGATTCCATCCGTCCAGAAAGAGCAGCTGGGATCGCCAGATCCCCGGAGACTCTCAGGATCCTCGGCCTGATAATAATCATGGAGAAATGAAGGATGGTGTCTAGGGGAGGCATATGGGGCCTGGCCTTGAAGAAGGATTGAGGAAACCCCCAGAAGAATGACCCCCAGGCCTTCATGCCTTCCACCTGGCCCAAGTCAGAAGAAGCCTGGGACCCTTGACTGCAAGCTCCTGGCACATTAAGGGTAGGCTGTACTAGGGGTTGTGGGAGGTGACTCTAGAATGGGGAATATTTGTCTGGGTGACTGACGGGTGTGTGTGTGTTCGTATGTGTTCATCTATCTCTCTGTGTGTCTTTCTCTGGAGCGTTCCTATTTTTAAGCTTCAGACTTTCCTTATTTCCAGGGTGCATTTCTGTGTGGGTGTCCTGACTGGGTTTACCAGTGCACCCGTGTGGAGTCACCTTGTGAGTTTGCCTTTGGTGTGAGTGTGTGACAGTCTCTTTGTTGTGTGGGTGTTGTAGGAGTGAGCATCGTGCATGTGTGTGAGTCATTCGTTGGCGTGCAGGAGTGTATTTCTCTTGTCTGCCTGAGTGAATGTGGTCGTGGCATGTCCCTCTTGTCTTCCGTTTCATCTTTCCTAGCACTTAGCACCACCTGGAACATTATGCCTCTGTTTGCTTCCTCCCTCCTTAGAGTGTCAGCTCCCAGAGGGCAGGACTTGGTGTATTTTGTTCACAGCGCCATCCCCAGCACCCACAACGTGCTAGGCACCAGCGGGCACTCAATACAACACTGTAGAGTGAATGAATGCTGTGTCCAATGTGTGAGTGTTTCTCCGGTTGTGCGATTAATTTCGGTGTGATGCTGGGTTGGTGGGGTTGGGTGCCTATGAGAATTTCTGGTGTGGGTGTGTGTAATTGGCTCGTAACATGTACAAGCTTGTACGTGTGTGCAAAAATGTCTAAGATGTGACTGAATGAGCCTGTGTGTGACTGGGAAGCCTGAGTGTAATCGACTCCCGTGTGTGTGTGTGTGTGTGAGCGCGTGCCAGCATGTTTGTGCATTTCTCCCGTGTTTTACGGCGTAATTGGCTGGTGCGCTGGTACGAACCTGTGTGTGCCTGGGGAGTGTGTAAGTGTGCGCACGCGAGTGTGTGTGCATACTCCAGGTCCCGCCCCTCGCTCTCCTCGCGCTCTGCGCTCGGCCTGGGGGCGGGGAGTGGGGCTGCGGCGAGGCCACTGCGGTTCGTCTGCCCGCCCTCGGCGCTGCGGCTCGGGCACGTCACCGTCCCTCCCCGCCCCCGCCGCGGTCCCCGCCCCCCCGGTCCTTTGTAGCCGGCCGCGGCGCTCGCCTACCGCCGCCCGGAGGCCCCGCCCCGGCCCCGCCCCGGCCCCGCCCCGCCGCGCGCCCCGCCCCTCCCCGGGCCGCAGTCGCTCCTGGGCCGCCGCGGGCCCGCAGCGAGCGCGGAGCGTGGCGCACGGCGGTGGCCAGGGCCGCGAGCGGGCGGGAGCGCGGGTGGGCTGCCGGCCTTGGACCGGCATGGCGGACCGGCGGCGCGCGTGGAACACGGAGGACGACCTGCCCGTGTACCTGGCGCGGCCGGGTAGCGCGGCGCAGACGCCGCGCCAGAAGTACGGCGGCATGTTCGCCGCGGTGGAGGGCGCTTACGAGAACAAGACCATCGACTTCGACGCGTACAGCGTGGGCCGCCGCGGCTCGGCGCGCACGCCTCGCAGTGCTGGCCGGCCCGACGCCGTCGGCCTGCCGGGGCCCGGCGGTAGCGAGGACACGGCCAGCGACGTGAGTGAGCTCTCGGGCTCGGCGGTCAGCTCGCCGGGCGAGCGCGAGGAGCGAGCACCCGCGCTGCGCATCCGTTGCCCTGCGCCCCGTGACCTGCCACTCGGCCGGGACAATGGCCAGGTACCCTCGGGACGCGCGCGGACCGGACGGGGGGCGGGGCCCTCGGGGCAGCTGGGCGTGGAGCCGCCGGAGCGGAGTGCCTGGGCCGCTGCCACCGGGCTTGAGAGGGCCACGGAAGCCCCCTCCCCCCCTCCGTCACACTGGAGGGTCGGAGAGGTGGTACGATTTGGTCGGGGTTGGCCAGCCCAGCCCGTGAGACTCCAAAGGGTCCTTCGAAATCCAGCCCCCCGCTCCTCTTCTGCAGGAAGGGAGAGCAAGGCTCTGAGAAGGAAAGTAAGTTGGCTACAGCCGCCACATGGACCCTTAAAACGCGAGGGGACCTCTGGGGTGAAGTTAATCCAAGGATCCCCATTCCCTGCCTTATGGGAAAAGAAGGGGAGCTCTTTCCCGCATTCGTGCATTCATTTATTCACTCACTCACTAGTGATTATGAAGCACCTACTGTGTTCCAGACTCTGGAAAAGGTTCAGTGAAACGCCTGTGGTCACACAGGTTAATGCTGAAAGGAACCTTTCGTGTGTGCTCCCTCTATGCTTGGGGGAAAGATTTGGTTAACGATTTAGATGAGTCGGGCAGCTAGCACTAGAAACTGCTACCCCCAAGCACCGACATCTTCAGGGGATGCTCCTGAGTCCCACAGCACGATGCCACTGTGCTCTCTTCACAGAGCAAGTTGGAGATTTGAACCCCGGTCTCTAGCTTCCCAGACTTGGAGGTTTTTACCCCCCTAAAGTGAAGGAGCATTAGGGAGAGGGAATGCCAGGCCCTGGGCCCTATGGCTCTTCTCCCTTAAGCTAGCGGTTGCCAGGGAATTGGAGGAAGATGGACGGGTAGACAGCACAGCTTTGGGATGTATGTGTGAGGGTCGGGACCAGATGCCAGGGCAACGGAAGTTGGAACACCCGAGGGCCAGCGGGCTGTCAGCTTAGCCCAGAACTCGAAGTCTGAGCACTGCTCAGGTCCCAGACCCGCGGTAGGCGCTGGGGTCCCAGCTCAGCACGCTGGCCCCACCCCAGGCCAGGGTGGGTGAGAGATTCATTGTGAGAATTAAATCAGCTAATGCTGGTAAGCAGTGAGCATTCAATAAATGTTCGTTGTTGAATTTTACTATCATTTTTTATTAGCCCTTCTCCCCTTAAATACTGTGAGAGGCATAAAGTGAGCGGGAGGAAGCCGAGCTCGATTCAGACAGAAATCTGGGAGGGCTTCCTGGAGGAGTGGGGGGCTGCGCCAGCCTGCGGCTGCAAGGACGCACTACCGGGTCTCCTGCGGCTCCCATGCTCTCGCTCTCCGCTTCCTGTCCCTTTGCTCGAGAACTCTCCATGGTCCTGAATTCGGCGCCCTGAAGAGGGGAGGTCTACAATGATGGGGTGGGGGCAAGGGAGGGAGATATCGAGAGAGTCATCTCCTTTCCTCTACCCCTTCTTATTCTCCCCTCACCACCTCCTTCCCTGGTGGCCGACCTTGTTTGGGATCCAGACTTCTGAGCCCGAGCGGGAGGCTTCAGAGCTGCGGATCCTGAAGTCAGGGTCTGTACCGGGAAACCCTGGTTTCCAACCAAGGCACCTCGTCCTCTTGAACCTCAGCTTCTCCACCTGTGAAATGGGGATGGCGTTTTTCTCCCAGCCACCCACAAGGCGTGGTGGAGTATCAGGGAGGCGAGAGCGCTTTGTGCCACGTCCGGAAGCTGTCTGCAAGTGCGTCCGTGGTCAGTGTCGCCAGCGTCAGCATCGCCCCCAGGTTCTGCCTGGGCCGGCTCCGCAGCCGCGCCTAGGCATTTGGGGATGGTGGTCGCTTCACCTCTTCCACTCCTCTCTCTCCCCCTCTGGCCCTCTCTTCCGTTTCTCCATGGCTTCTCGGGGACTGGACAAAAGGCGGCGCCCTCCGGCGCGCCTAGGGCTCCAGAAGTCCTCCAGGTTTGGGACTGCGGAGCCCAGGGGCTCACGGTCTCCCTAAGGGAAGTGTTTTACTTTCTGCGGACCAAGCCGCCACGGGACTCGGGTTCCGGGGCGGGCTTCGCGGCTCCAGTGCTTTGCAGAGGGTACAGGGGCCCGAGGTCCTCCCCCCGCCCAGAAAGCTCTCTCCTGGGGAGGGAGGAGGAGTTTCTGCGGCGCAGGCGCAGCGTTTGCTGAGGCCCGAGGCCCAGCGGCTGCGGCGCTTTGTACCCGGGAAGTCGGCTTGGGAGCAGCGATCTGTTTGGCCAATTGCGAACCGGTGCCCCTCCCCCCAATACACACGTGGTCTTGTCCCCAGCTCTGGAGCTTCCCTGTCCAGACTGACCTCTGGGGACGTCCTGGTGCGTGGAACCTAGGACTTAACAACGCTGAGGAAGGCAATGTAGGCAACATGGGAACGGAGGCCTGCAAATTCTGGTCATCAACAAGAATTTAAGACCCAGCTCAGAGTCCAGAGGACAGACTGAAAGAATGAGTGGAGAATGAGCTCTCGATAAGGTGTGCGGGAACCTGGCTTCCAGAAACTGTTATGCTGTAGCTAATGCACTTTGCACCTGAGATACCATTTTATTTCTGTAAGCCCCAACTTTCCACCTGCAAAATGGGAAAATGATGGCCTAGTGTTCCTGGAATACTAAGTTGCTTATCTTTTGTTAATCTACAACCCCGCACTGTTCCAAGGCCAAGATATCTCTGGCCTCCTGTCCTGGTGTGGGTGACTGGCCTCTAGGTGGCTTTGGAGGGAAGAGCTTCAGGCCTCAGCCTGTGTAGTGGGGTGCTTTACCAGCCCTAGCACACCCTCCCTCTGGGTGGCAACTTGAAAGTAAAGAAGATGGGTTGGTCTTTTAAAAGATACTGCTAGTTTGTATTTTGTAGGCAGAAAGTGAATGGCAGAGGTTAACATTTTATTGTCTGGAGATTTGGGGCACCTGTCTGGGGTTGTGGGGGCTTGCTAGGACTCCCCTTTCCCCCTTCCCACTTTTCTCCTTTCCTGTCAAGAGGTTTATCAAGCTATGCCCTGGCTTCCTGCCCACCTCTCCCCAGAGCAGCACCTGGGTCAGGGGTGCTGAGGCTATGGTGCCTCTCCTGGGGTATCTGGGGACCTTAGCACCAGTGGTCTGGCCCTCCAAGCAATCACTGGTAAGCAAGACTGTGGGGGTGACCTGGCGGCTCCAGGGCCAGGCTGCTGTGTGATGAGAAGCTGCTGCAGGAGGTAGAGCAGGTCAGCCACTAATTAGGTTAGGGCCTTGTCTCTCTCATCCCTGCTGCACTCCCTTGGCCTGGCAGTAAGGCTCCTGCTGAGCCCTCCGGGAGGCTGATTCAATGATGGGAGTTGGGAGCGTGGCAGGAACGGCTTTATGGAGAGGCCCTTGACGATGAGTCTGGGAGATGGGTAACCTTTTGTCTGGGGTTAGATATTAAGGAAGAGGGTACAGCTTGAATAAAGGCTTGGAGTCCCTGGAGATGGAGAAGCGCTTGATCTATTCAGGGAGTGTGCAGAGCGGATGGACAAACAGACGAACGGAGGCTGCATGCAGCAAGAGAGGCAGGAGAGGGCTGGGGCAGTCGTTGGGCCGGGTCCGGAGGGCCGCCGAACGCTCAAGCAGCTCCGGCGGGTCCTCGGCGCCCGCCCCACGCTCCCTCCCCAGCGCAGCTGTTCCGGGGAGGCCCGCAGATGCGGGGCCGCCCACCTGTGGCGCCGCCGCGGGGCCTTGCCCGCGCAGCCCAAGGCCGTCTCTGGCATTTAAAAGCACCCTGAAAACCAGACCCTCCCCATCGGGAGAGCGAGGCCGGGGCGCAGCCGAGGGCGTGTGCGCGGGGCGGGGGTCGGCAGGGCTGGGCGGTTCGGGGGGCGGGGGGCGGAGTGGGGGGGATCGGAAGGGAAGCGCTTCCTGGTTCGAGCCGACAGGGGCGAATCGGGCTCGGCTCCGCGCCTCCGGGAGGAGCTGTCTGTCTGTAGCCCCCTCCTCCCGCCCTCGCCTCTCCCTCCTCCTCCCACCCTCCTCACCGAGCCGGGCGGTGCTGGCGGCCGGAGCGGCGGCGGCGGGCGGGCCGAGCAGCCGGGGCAGCGGGCGCGTGGGCAGCCGCGGGCGCCGAGCTTCCGTTCCTCTCTTCTGCCCTCCCGGGCCTTTGTCACCGCGCCCGCGGGGAGCGGGACCGGTTGATAGAGCCGGGCGAGCGAAAGACAGCCCCCACAGGTCCGCCGGCCGGGCCGAGGGCGCCAGCGGGGCCATGTCGTACCAGGGCAAGAAGAGCATTCCGCACATCACGGTAAGCCGGACCCCCGCCCCCGCCCCCGCCCCGCCGTTCTTTGTGGGGTGGGGGTGGTCGCCGCCAGGGTCGGGATCCGCGGGGGGGCGGCAGGGGCGGCCCCCGAGGCTTCCTGCGTGGCGGCGGGTGGGGCGGGGCTGATCTCAGCGCTGCAGCCCCCTCCCCCCAGCCTCTGGGGACAATGGTGGTGGTGGTGGTGGGGAGCCCCGCATGGCTAGGCGGGGCTGGAGCCTCGGGTCCCTCTCCCCGCGGGCTTGCCGCCCCCCACCCCCCACCCCACGGGAAGTGCCGGAGGATGGCGTGGACAGGGAGGATGCGGAGCTGAACAAAAGAGGGAGGGGCGCGGGGGGCCGAACCCCTCCCTCCCGCCCTGGAGCGGGGATGGGGCGGGGAGTGCCGAGCGTCCTGCGCCTGGCCTCCGCACCGTCGGGCTCTTGGACCTCGCCGCCGAGTTCCTTCCCAGCCGGAGGAAGGAAAAATAGCGTCCTCCGCCTCCCACTCCCCGCCCCTACTGATGGAGTGGAAGCCTGGACCTAGAGGCAGCGCCATGATGGAGTGCCCCTCCCATTCCTCACCGCAGCTAAAAATAAACCTAATGGGGCGGCACTGGCAACTGTGGCCCCGGAAGGGTTAACGCTGGGGGGTAGAAGGGTGGTGGGCGCTGAGCCGTCCGCCGTCCCTGGGTGTGGCCGGAAACAAAGGATCCCTGCTTTGTCTTGGGTGGGGAGCTGAGGGCTGAGGGCGCAGCTCTGGGGAGACCTGGCCTCCACCCCA